AGGCAGATGGATGCGAGAGAAAACCGCGAAGACATGTTAAGAAACGGTGAAGAATCACTGATGGTAGAAATGAGGAAGGAGTGACGGGTTGTCGGACAGTTTTTTCTAACACGAAGTGGGTTTTTAGGATCCGCTAACTTAAGAAGTAATTTTCGCTAAAAATTTATTCATTGTTGTCTAAAACGGTCTTACAACCCGCGCAACACTGGATTCTGGCAATGGCGTCTAAATAAGACCATATGTTACTGGGCCGAAGACGGCTTTTGGGTTTGTCGAGACTAAGACCAATGTAAACCAATAGCTGCGTCAAGGACCTGCCGGAGAATGGACGTGCTAAGTGTGTTGATGGTGACTCTGAATGCGGCAGTGAAAAGTCTGGAGCCATCGGACATTAGATGTGCACGTCTTCGAAACAGTGTCCCGATCAACGGATATTTAGGCAGCTTGATGGTGACGTCAGCTGTATATCCTTCAGGGAACTGGGTTCTGCCAAGCTCCCGTAGGTATTACCTCACACTGAAGAGGGAATCCACTGAACACTGCAGGCGCCAAGAGGGTAAACGCCGTTAGGGGCATGGGAGAAGCAGACAATACCTAGTTCTGAGCTTTTAGCTACAAAACGAAGATATAAAGACAAAAGTAAATAATTTAATAAATACCTGGGGAGCCAATTTTGTTCTCAAGTATTGTGGAGCGGTATCATGGTCGAAACGTGGTAGGCGCTCATCTGTCACCTTTGCAAGAGCTGGGTCTGGTTCAGGATTCAGTCGAACAGGTGTGAGGACGAGTGACTGAGCCAGCGAAAAACGCTCAGACTCCAAGACTTTGCGTATTTCCACCAATTCCGAAGCACACAGTCCAAGTGTGTTCAAGTATTTTGGCCAGTCGCAAGTTTCGCGCTTCAGCAAAATGTGGAGGTAAATAGATTGCTACCTGTGTTTGCAAGGTTATGAGGAGATCCTGCAATTTCTGTTTCAATTTAGATGCCGAAGTATATAGTATTCGAACGCTTTCTTGTTGCTGCCGTTCATTTGCATTCATACTTCACACGTGTCTATTGGAAAGAAGAATTACGAAAAATAAAAGTAAAGTGTTTCAGGCGTCAGTGAAAGGACAGGAGAGGACCAGACACAACGAAGCGAAGAGGTGGAACATCTAATAATTGAGGCTCTGTACCAAAAGAGGCAGGGACAATGGGAAGACCGATTCTGACCTATTGTTGGTCACCATGTGGTCTAATGCGTAGATTGCAGAGCCTCGGCTACACGGTAGGACGGAAATGCCAATTCCCGTCTTGCGATCAGTATAGATCGGTGAATGCGAGTCCTAATTGACTGCACTGTAATTGCTGCCGTTTTACTTATGTTTGGCGTCGGAGCAAGCAAAATTATGTCTTGAGGGACATGTATCCTTAGTTTTACGGCGAGCTTTAATGTAAAGTACTTGAAATGAAGAAAGATAAACGGAGGGAACTCTCAATCTCCATAAAGCGCCGTCAAAAAATGCATGACGAAAATTACGGAAAACCTGCAATAAGACTTTACTCCATCCTCATTGCCGTCAAAAATCTGTTAGACGAATGGAAATCAAGTGAGTTCATAGGCAGGCACTGCAGGTGAACCGCCTGCTGTTTGCAGTCTCTTCAAGTTATTTTTGACAAGCGGTTGCAAATACGAGCAATTTATAAGTTGGAGCGCAGTCTAAAACAGCACAAGGATGTTCAGAAAGACGTCCATATATAATGACGGCGATAGACGACTTGCCGCCGGATTCCAAAACTCTCCAGGGGGCTGAACCCATTGCAAGTAGTCACACCGGGTAATAATGAGTTAGCTTGAGGTTACTCACTGCGTACCACTCCCATTGATGTCCAAGCATACTTGCCAGACGACGCAGTTTTTGTTTCAAAGCTCACAAACGCTAGAGCGACCACACTTGCGTCAAGATTCCGTACCTTTCTCACCGGTAAATTACAGAGGTCAGTTCAGTTGCTAACATGAACACTGGCTAACTTTTCTCGGACCCAAAATTTAGTCCATCACAGTCGACGTGGACCACCACTGTCTCCATAGTTACTTGGTGTGAGCTGGCTTAAGGCGAAAGGGACGTTCTCATTGTCTACCTCCCTCAAATCCCGCATGGTTTAATGACAAGACAGCCAAGACGGTTGGAGATTGGTGTTTGCGGAATGGCTGACGGGGTTAAATTCACGTCCAGGCATGTCACTCAAACGTTGGTATACGGACGCGGAGAAAACAAACTTCAAATGAATGAGATTTCGGACTTCGCACAGGAAGGAGTGGTCGAAAAGAACGTACTAAAAGGTCGTGGCAGCCTAACATTCGATTCGGAGGAGGACAAACAGCTGACAGCCTGGCGAGCTACAATTGTTAGCGTGTTGGATTTATTACTGTATGGGAACTACAGTAAATGTACTATTTCGTAAAATGTCAACCGACATTCTGAAATGCGTTTTCAATTCCAAAAAATATTTAAGTAAGGTTGTAATATTAATTATCCTACCACATGATCCCAAGATATTCCTGTCACGCCAGGATGCCACGAGCTCTTTGCTGACCGCTTCCGCGAAAATGACTACTTAAGTAATACGAATTTTCCGGTTAATTTTCCATGTCCTTACAAATGCAAATATATTTTAGAGAAAACATGCACGAAAACATTCTTTTTACTCATTTGGTAGCAAATCACAATTTATGTAGACTTTATACTTAAAAAAACCTCTTTCGGTTTTAAAAGTTTCCAATTATGACATTTTTCAAGACCGTGAAATTTCCAGCCGTATAACATTGTCTCAGCACATTTATTAATTCCTTTATAATATGGACAACTTGGTCTATATGCCTTACACGATTTTATGAGCCCTAAACGCCCTCTTCATAATATCATACAGAAATGTGTGATCTTCCCTGCACGAAAAGTATGCAGATTGAGGATCTGGAACCCTTTATGCTAGTTTAACGGCAGGCTGGATTCAAAATTATTCGAGAGTTGACAAAATTTCTTTAAAAACCGAAAGATGCTTTTTCTTCAATAATAAAACATAAAGGAAATTTAAAGGGGGTGTAATTCGCTACCAAATGGGTAAAGAACGAACATCTCTGCGCATGTTGCCTATAAAATGTACTTGAATTTGTAAGGATATCAAAAATAAATGGGAAAAATTCGTGCGACATAAGTGGCCATTTTTACGGAATATGGTTTTTGCAGACGGCCGGAAGAGAGCTGGTCTAAAAGCCGACATCCGAACGTGACTAAAACATCCTAACATTATGCAACATAACGATTCCGCCTAAGAAACGTTTTGGAAGTGAAAACACAGTTCGGTCAACATTTCATGAGTTGGCATATCTACTGCATGTCCTGAACCGACCTCACTCCCTCTTGCCTATCCCATCATATAAAATATCATGCTCCTGTCGGGCTGACGTGGAGTAAAACATCCGTCTGGTATATGCCACGTGCTCGTGTGACGTTGGTTCGGCTTAGCGCTAAGGCGTAACCCATTAACGGGGTTCAGGGTTCGCACTCACAGTCCTCAGTGGTGATTCCCCGCGGTCGCGGTGAGTCGCTGAATGTGATTTGGTACTGCAACTCCATGAAGGACGACATAATCTGCAGAGGAATGATACGTCGGCTGAAAGGATGCATGCAATTTGTATCACCAACATCATTCTCGATGTTCCTGTTGCCCTTCTTTCGAAGAACTAAAGTGCGGGAATTTGTGGTTCGTGTAAAGTTAAGGGCCAGGTTGTATGCAGCATGTGTAGACGGCCTAGTTGGTTTCGTCAGACACTACCCATTTCCATCTCTAAGCTTTTAACTTTGTAATGTAGCTTGTGCGTCTGGGACATGGTAGACAAATTTAAACACGGTCGGACAAATGGCAGCACAAGCCCTGGAAGCGTCTCTGTTGGGTGATTTCTAAGGGATCGGACGAGGTGGAATCTACATGAGCGATAACAGGACGGACATAGAATCCCAAAAAGGATGAACAGATGGTCTTTCTTAAAAATAGAGTCGTCGCTGACACTTAATTTGGAGTCAAATACGTTCACACATGTCCATGTTTCCCTAGTACCTATAATATGCGGTTAAATGCCTTCGTAGGCATGCAGTGGAACTTGGCTAGTTCGGTTACGCGTGTCAATTTACGGACACATGGCATGGTGAGCAGTTCATACGAAAAATGGGTTGAAATTGACCGGCAGCGAATGTAGAACGGGGCACCGGACAATCACCCCGTGATTTGGTCGTTCTATTTTGCAAATCGAGTGTAGATCGGGCTGCCTACGCCCTCTTGCAATCGTTTTCTGGTCCAATAATTTTTCGGCTGGTCCCAGACAATTTGGAGCATATGGTGCAACTTACGCAATGTGGTCGCAAGGCTGACTGACGTTGTGGCCTATAATTTATTCTTTAACTTAACAAAAGACAGATGGTAGATCTAAGTCTCCAGGGTTCTTCCTCTTTACCTATGCGATGGAGGTGCCTTAGGAGCTTATTGGCGATCGAACTGATCAGGACCTTCTTCTCAACTAACTCATCTCCGTGTTTGGACGCTTTGTCGACCCATTTTTCTGTCAGATGTAAGATAATTGTATTACGTGTACATAATTCGTCCCATCTCCTCTGCGCCATACTGCTCTTAATTTGAGATGCGAAGTTTAATATCATACAGCTTCGTACGTCTATAATCTCAATGAGCCTGGTGATTATGTCTTCATGCTCGTCAACTTTCTTATTCGAAACATGAGGCTGCGTATGAATGAACATCTGCTGAAAAGACCTCGTAATCCGTAGCGCAAACGGATACGACTGGATGAGGATAAGTGGTCTATGGGGCACGTGCCGTCCTCGTTCAGCGACCCAATCGCCCGATAACCCAAACCTATAGGCCTCCGAAGACGAAATCGACTTGAATGCCATGCTGGAGAGATGTATGTCCAACCAATATGCACGCAGGGGAGTAACTTACCAAAAAATCTTTCGTAGACCACCATAATGGAGACCTGCCCGACCCACAAAAACAGCTACTCGTCGGCCGCAAGAAAAGACAAGAGCTGCCCACCAGCGGCGCCATTGTGACTTCTGGACCGAACGATCGGAATGGAAGAAATCGAATGAATTTCGGAAATAGCTATTTACACAAAACCCCGTACCGTAGATTCTTTATCTGTCCACATCGGGTGGAAGCATAACGACTACCGAGGATAGCTTGCTCGTAGCTCCATTTTTAAACGAAAAACCTCACGTTTAACTTATTACGGAATGCATAGTAGGACAGTGGTAATCTTCGGCTTAATAATCTATGACATCCTCCGTTGAAAGCCTTCTACCTAGCATACATTCCAAAACAGAATTCCCCAACATTTGGAATGTCTACCACTGTTAGGACCGATAGCGACTGAAGGATGCATTCATAAAAGCATTCAAGAGGGCTAACGACCACTTAGGTATGAAAGATCACTGGCTGACTGGTAGTCGTCCTTTTGATGGCGAGTTGACGGCGCGTGTTATGTACTTCATTGATGCTCCCTTCGAATGATGCTTGCTGTTGCTGAAATTCGTAATAATATGGTAATACGCGGAAGCTAAGATGGGAGAAACTGAAACTACGTAACCATTCCCCCGATGGAAATTAGTTTTCAACGTGTCAAATCCTCATGAGCTCGGAAATGCTCTCGCGCACGGTCTCGACTGCGCATTTTGACTTCGGAAGGAACTCGATAGTTCGACGTGTTATCTATATTATGTAATTTTTCCGAGTGCGAAGTGCCCTAAAACTAATCAAACACTGGTGTTATTGCATCAGGTTTGTTTGTATAGAAAAATGAAACAGTTAAATGCTTAATTCAGCATATGCTGGTCTCGTCAGTCAACGAAATAGCTGACGAATTTCTAAAAAAAATTTTAACCCAAATTCTCACGCATAATAAATACGTCATCCTATCGGGTTTCATAGAACAAACGCTACCACAAATTAGCTTCAATATATTGAAGCTAATTTTACGATACATCGT